ATATATGTTTAAATACATCATTTTCGAAAACAAGTAATACATGATGAACATACTGATATAATAGAATTAGAAGGACAGCCCCTATAAATTTTAAGGAATAAAAAATACCAGTAAATGTAGGCATTGTAAGAAACTGAAAAAAAATCTGTACCGGAGGAATCGCTTTGTACGTAAGATTTTGTATAAGAAGTATTTAATTGAATTAAATTAAGGCTTGGCTCATTTAAACAGAAAGATATTAGTTGACAATGTTTCATATTACTTGAAACCAAACATATCTTTTCATCATAGCACTTTTCTCCGCTTAGAATTGAATATTAAATTCCCTAGGTTCAGTTTCTAAATACAGGCTTTGTGTATGTAACTGTAGAACTTGAAATTCTACAGGTACTGTACCTGCTTGGCAATTGGAAAGAGCTGTTATGTACATTTTACTTAGAATTTGGCAGCTGTAACAACCTTTTGATTTAATATCTTTAGAGGTTATTTTCGGACATATTTCATTGTGTTCTAGTGATATTTTATAGTTTTTAAAATGAAGTTGCACTCTTACTGGTGCCGAAGAAAGTAAGTTCGACTTCAGTACACCTTTTTCAACCGCTAGCAGGTGCATATCTCGTGTAAGAGGAAGAGAATTCTCTTTTGTTGAAATCATGGTTTGCAATCCATCTGGTCGTTTTTCACAACGTAGCGTGCTTTCAAAAAAATTACAGGTAACTATGTCCTTGTCAAAAATAAAATCTTTTGTGTATCTCGTGTTAGCTTGTACTTGCCCAACCATATCTGCGGTTGGATGGTTTTGAGGACTGGACTGTATAAGATATGCATCGGAAGGATCACCTACTCGAAGCACTAGGGAATCTGATAGATGGAGCGGAGGCTGATTGTAAGAACCTAAGATTTCTAGAAATATGCCATCAGAAGTGACGGCGGTTGGCTGTAGTGTGAGGAGTTCCGTGGACATATTCCTGGCTCGTTCCACCGCTATAGTATAGGTGCAATGGTGTCCAATGATTTTGCGGACCTTATAAGAATTCAACAGATCCGGAACAAAGAACAATCTATAAAACAGGCAACCCATTCTGGATAGAATTATGCATCCACTCCCTACACTTGACGGATGACAAGCATTAAAACCTGGGTAGGTGAGGCTTTCGTCGGGGAGCCCTTCAAATTCTTTTCCGGCAACGCAATGCTCTCCCCATGCACATTGATAATTTTGAGGACATGCTAACTGTGAGATGGTACGTTCTTGGACAGGAAACGTGAAGTGTTTACGCTTTGTAGAAAAGCTGCATTGTGATGAAACTAAGCGTAACTTAAGCTGCAGTAGATTACTCTTTCTCGAGTCCTGGAACCAAAGGCAGGCCTCATAATCAAATCCTTTGAGGGTGATTTCGGCGGTAGTGAACATATCGCATTTTCTCACGCCTTCACGTGTGTGACAATTTTGTATATCAGATGTGATGAGTGAACAGTCAGCTAATATCATTGGAAAAATGCATAGTAACACAAGTAACGATGCCTGTGTTGGCAATAGTATATTTTGAAGTTCGAGGTAATTATGGAAGTCATTAAATTGTCTTCTTATCCCTGTTCCAATGACTGCTCCACCCAGCATGAAAAAGCGTCCTTTACATGCTAATTTTAGAAAAATTAAGAGCACTAGGGTAAATAAAACAAGAATAGAATATATGCCATACGCTATATATGATGGCCAACATTGTTGTTCTGCGATAGCTTGCGGGGTGTATAAAAATCAAACTTGGACAATGCGGACTGTATAAAATTTATTTTGCGGGTGCGCTGGTAGCGCTGCGGAGATGCAAAAACCGAGCGTGTATGCTCTTTGGTTGTTTTACAATAACTGACTCTTGGCTGAGAACAATGGCGCCAAGAAGCCAACGGGCGTAGCAACAGACCGGCCCGCGTTGCAATATCCATGATATTCAACTTAATTGTTTAAATTTTAAAAATAACACACACAAATAATTATGACATAACAAGTAAAAAAAATAAAATACATAAAGATTATAAAACACGAGCACAACAATCAACTAACATGAGAGGAATTGAATCCTTAACGAAAGAAACAAAATTTTCATATTAAATCACTACAATGGTTGAAGTTCACTTAGTAGATTACAAATAAATGCAATTAACAATAAATGTGACAAATAAATGCAATTTGTGAATTTTTAAAGCACAACAAAGTTTTTAATTAAAATTATCTTCAATAGGAAAAAAACAAATTTTTGAAATAGGTCTTTTAAGTGGTCCAGATTTGGTATTTACAATTACAACTCGGACCTTTCCATCAGAACCAGGAATACGAGTAGTTTGATGGATTCTTCCCTTCATCCATTTAAAAGGGGGCAAATTGTCCTTCTTAATAATAACCATATCATTTTTCTTCACGTTATCTTTAGAAAAATACCATTTTTTACGTTGTTGTAAATGATTGAGATAATCTACAGACCAACGTTTCCAAATTATTTGTATCATTTTTGATAGTTTACGCCAATGAGACAATCTATTTTCGGTCTCATTGATTAAAATAGGTTCTGCAATGGTATTTATCGGTCGACCTATGAGAAAATAGCCAGGGGTAAGGGGCTCATAATCAGAAACGTCTGAGGACAAAGGGGAAATCGGACGGGAATTTAAAATTCCTTCAATTTGGGAAAGAACGGTAAGAAATTCTTCATAATTAAGTCTAGCATTACCAACAGTTCTTTTCAAGTGATGTTTGAATGACTTAACTCCTGATTCCCATAGACCTCCGAAATTTGGGGCACGAGGGGGCAAAAGTTTCCATGAGATATTTTCTGAGGATAATTAGTTAGCTAAATATTCATTCGGAGATGTTAATAGTGATGCAAGTTTCTTTAACTCTGTATTAGCACCAGTGAAATTAGTAGCATTGTCGCTAAAAATACAAGAGCTTTTCCCTCGTCGAGAAAAGAAGCGTTTCAAACATGCAATGAAAGCTTGGGCAGATAAATCAAAAACAATTTCTAGATGTATGGCTTTAGTAACTAAACAAATAAAAATAGCAACATACACTTTATGTAAATTTCCCTTTCTTTGATTCTTGTATTTAATAAGGAAGGGGCCACAATAATCTACTCCTGTATTGTTAAAAGTTAAATTAGTAGTTACACGTTCAGCGGGCAAGTTTCCCATTAATTGCTCTAAATTAGTAGGTATATGGCGAAAACAAATTAAACAGTCATGAACTGTTTTTCTAGCAATATCTTTTCCACCCATGGGCCAATAAACTTGGCGAATAAAATGCAATAAAGCTTGCGGTCCTGCATGAAGATTTTTTAAATGGTAGTAAGCAAATATCATTTTAGTTAACTTATGCTTTTTGGGAAGCAAAATTTGATGTTTTGAATCATAGTCAATGTTGGCATTTGTCAAACGGCCGCCTACTCTTATTAATCCCTTGTCATCAATAAACAAATTTAAATTTCTCACCTGACCTGTTGTGATACATTTTCAGCAAATCATCACAGCAGACTGTGTGTGTAATCATTTTGCCGAATTTGAAAATTTAATAGACATTAACAAGTCAAGAAATATTTTGTACGATTTCGGAGATTAAAGAATGGATGGATTACAATAATTTCATATTTTATCTCGAGAGAAGATAACATCACCTTACTTTCAAGGAGTATATTCAAGAGATACGTCTACAAGAAAATACATGTGCTATCATGAATTCATCCCAACCACGACCTCACTGGCTAGCATTATTCGTGAATGATAAAAAGAAATTAGTTTTATGACCCCGATGGAAGGCCTCCCGAATTTTACAATATGAATACCTCTTCCTATTCAAATGTACAATAGAATTCCTAAGTTTTTCAATCACGTCCAATGTATGCGGACAATATTGTATTTACTTTTTATTCAAGCGATGTCAAGATTATTCTATCTATATTTTAAGTAATCATTTTCTGATGTTTCAATTTGTAAAGAAACGATATGGTGTAAGATTTGTTTTTAAAAAATGAAAAGAAATTAAACTAAATAATTTGTGTCTTTCTTGTTTCTATTATTAAAATTTATTCAAAATTTCTAGAAAATTTGATATTTCAGAATTTTATTTAAATGGGAAAACTTTCAGTTACAAAATTTTTAAAATGTTTCTACACAAGAAAATTTTTTTTTTATTCATTTAAATTTTCTATTTTTTTTTTTTTTTTTTTTTTTTTTTTTTTTTTTTTTTTTTTTTTTTTTTTTTTTTTTTTTTTTTTTTTTTTTTTTTTTTTTTTTTTTTTTTTTTTT